AATATTGTTATAAGATACACTAAACTCTTTATCCAGGCTGATGCTAATGATATTTTAACTTTGTAATATTATTGTAATCATTTATAAAGGGAGGCAGCTCCATTCAAGAGAAGCTGAAGAGAGCCTCGGTATCATAGCGATAGGGAACTTCCCTTATCTTGAGTTACTAACCTGGGCCAGTGACTGCAACTTTATCAGATTTAATCTCCACAGTCACTGGCCTGGTAGCTGCTGTTGTCCTCATTCTCCACATTAGGAACCTTAGGCTGAGATAGACACAGTGACTTCCCAGAGGTGACATAGACTATTTCTTCTTGCCTGAATCCTTGTAATGGCTCCTTTTTGGGTGAAGTTCAAACTTCTAACTTGGATGATAAAATTCTCATTCTCTGGCCTTTGTTAATCTTTACAGTGCCATCTCTTTTCATTTCTTACCTAGTCTCCAAGTTTACAGGTCTTTCACATTTTAAATGTCACAAGTTGAGTCTTCTGCTGTGCGCAGTCACCCCGTTCCTGTCCCCACCATTTAGTGACTAACTCCTTTTCAGTCTTTAGGTTTCGGCTTAAGTACCACATCCTCCAGGTAAGTTCACCAAGTCCGTCATGCCCACTGCATTGCTCATTCATTCATTTAACAAGTACAAGGTCTGTCTGGAAAAAGTCCATCCATTGTTAATATAATGAGAATGGTTTGCACAACATCGATGTAGCCTGGCAGCCAAGGAGAGTGGACTGGAATGTGCATGCAAGAAAAATGATGACTTCACTGTACTAGTCAGTGGGGCTGGTAGACACTATTGAGTGAGTATGTGTACTGTGTGGTCATCACACTCAAAATGACTGAACAAGTAGAGCAGTGAGTCTGCATCAAATTTTGCTTTAACTTGAACATTCCTCTGCAGAAGCTATTCAGATGATTCAGAAGGCTGTGCAGCTATGCGCAACTGGTGATTGGCAGCTTCATCACAACAATATGCCCACTCATGCATCACATCTCATGCAGAGTATTTTGGTGAAACTTCAAATCACCCAGGTAACTTCTGGCTTTTCCCAAAACTAAAATCACCTTTGAAATGGAATCAATTTTAGACTACCGATGAGATTCAGGAAAATACGACGGGGCAGCTGATGGCAATTGGGAGAACTGTGTAAGGTCCCAAGTTGCCTACTTTGTAGGGGACTGAGGAGTCATTGTCTTGTGTACAATGTTTCTTGTATGTTATATCTTCTTCAATAAATGTCTTTACTTTTTGTATTACATGGCTGGATACTTTCTGGACAGACCTTGTCGTATATAGTGCCCAGGTATTACCCTAGGCACTAGGAGTATAACAGTGAGCAAAGGAGAAAGAAAATCTATGCCTTTCTTGCTAGTACTTTAGTATCATTTAGTTCAGTGTCCCTCATCACACGCTTGCTTCACGAGAGGATCGGTTATGTCTAAGTTGTTCTGTTACATATTTAGAGTCTTACCCAATGGAATATTGTAGGACTATTGCAGGCATTTAATATTTATTGAGTTGGGGCACAAATGAGTGACTTCATTTACTGTTTAATTTATAATAGTTGCATAGGAGTATAAGAATGTTCTCTCTGGACCTTTTTATCTTTTCCCACTGTCATCATCATAATACTAGACCTCATTGTCCTATGACTGGATTATTGCAGTGGATCTGTAATTGAAAGCAACCTTGCTTTCAACTTTTCTACATCATGGGATTCCCCATAAAACTGTCAGACTCATCTCTCATTGCTGGGATTGTTCTCCTTCTTCATAAAACATCTCATACTGAAGTGCAAGTCTCTTCATAATCTAGTGTCGCCTTTCTATTATAATTTATCTCCTGCTCTTTCATGTATACCTTCTAATCGATCCTTTTATTTATTTATTTTTTGCAGTCCACTTACTCTGGTTCATTTCCACCTTTCTACGTAAAGATCCCTTTCTCTTATTTTCAGTTTACTGCAAATTTTATTAACACTGCAAGACCCTTCCCTTTGCTAAGTCTTCTTTAACAATGTCATCCAACCTTTGTTTTCATAATTACAGATTTCCTGTAAGACTATCAGTAGGACTCCTAAAGAAGTTTTAAGCAGCAGAATCTATCTAGCCCCCACTCCTAACCCCCGAACACACACATACACACACAGAGAGAAAGAAAGAAGCCTCACATGGGCCTCCAAGGTAATAATAATAATAATAATAATAATGATGATAATAATAATAATAAAGGTAAAGCTTATTGTAATACTACACTAACTCTTCTCTTGTACCCTGGAGCTCTACAGAACACATCTGAAACCAATGTGTGAGCTCAGTCACACTGGTCTTTGCTTGGTCTTAGTTTTGGCAAGGGCAGGTCAAAGGTGGTCAGGGTGACTTAGCACTGCTGAGAGGAAAATTACTTATTTATGAAACAGAAGGAAAGGGTGATACTAGTCCCATATGTTTGGCTTCTTACCACTTCCCAGGAAACATCTGTAGGAAACAGAATAGAGTTTGATTTTATTCTTATCTCTAGTTCTAAGACATTTGAAATGTTAAGGGTCCTCTAGGCTAGACCTGCCCCCCTCCCCCCGAAACCCTTTTAGTCATCTACATTTCCCATGTCCAGAGGCAAGAGTGAGTCTATGGTCAAAGGTCAGTGTATTATTGATGAAAGGTCAAATTAGTAGCAGGTAAGCAGTTGGAAGCCCTATCTAGTCCTTATTCCCAAGGACTTGGGATATATTATATCCCAAGTATAACTTAAGACTCTTAATGGAATTGTATTTATATTCCTTTACTATAAAATTACATATTATTCTTTAATTATTTCATAATGATGTAATCTTGTCTTTCTACCAGTTTTCAAGAATGAACTTTTAAATTTTAGAACAACCATCACATAGGAGGTACTTAATAAATACCTGCTAATTAGGACTGAATAAAATATCTTAGGTTATAAAGTTGTCTGTTTTATAGGATTAGTCACAATTTTTCCTCTCTAACATGTGAAATCTCCATGTAAAGTATCAAATCATCATAATATAGTTCAAGTGTCCTTTAGAAACATGTAGTTCAATTTGTGACGTGATTAATAACAGATCTCACATTTTAAATGTATTAAGAACATCAAAAATTTTAATTTAAAATACATTACAAAGGAAATATAGAAGGTAAGAAGAGTTCTAGAAATTTAATGAAGTAGATCTATAAGGAAATGTAACTTGAAATTATGTGATTTTATAAAACTTCCCTAGTAAAAATCAATTTAATAACTCAACACATTATGAACATGCTTTTCAATTTTGTATGTTTTGTCAAGGTGAAGGAAAAGAGTTGATTGACAACCCTGATTGGTCTTTTTAGCAATTCAAATATATAAAACAAACATTCATCATTTTTAATTGATGAAAATTAACCTAAATTTGAAGTTATGATTACTAATGAATCACAGGTTATGATGATTAGCAGCTATTTTCTGTTTTCTAAACACCTGCATTAATTTCCCATGATCACTCAGTTTATATGTCATATGTAACATGTTAGCAAAACATCTTTGTCTAATTTAATTAGGTATTTGTCAAATGCTGAAGAAACAAAAACGTGTGACATTATTGTGCACATTTGGAAGCAGGAATCTATGTAAATGGACAAAATATACAAAGACTTTATGGATGCTATGATTCAAATCAGTTTAGGTAACCATGACCCCTAGTTTTATTCTTAGAAATAAATAAAATTGATGGTTTCTATCACTATGACAACCATTTATCTCCATAAGAGAAGTCTTTAATTAAATGAATATTAGCTCTGAAATGGAAATTTGAGATAATTTATTACAAGTCCTCGAAGATTTAAATAGATAATCCCTTTGAATACACAAAACAATCTCATACCTTAATATAATTTGAAATTTCAAAATAAAAACATTACTAAAAGTAAATGTGAAGTATTTATAATTTGACATATATTTTTAGAAAATTATATACTCTCCAGCTTCTGTTAAAAAATTTAGCAGATGGTAAACAGGCAATAAAATGAACTGCCCATAGAAAATATTTATGGGGGACGTAAGCCTTAAACCCACTTTCTTGACTGGTACTCAAAAGTTTCAGAATGGACAGGGTAACACTCTCATGGCAGGAAGCCAATATTTTTTTTAATATTTTGTGTATGTATGCCCTCTCAAGTATTCTGTAAAATTCTTCAGACCAAGTTTCATGCCTTCCATTTCTTTATTGTCCCAATATAATTGAACACAAGTAAAAAGTTGTATTTTTGATGTTATTTATTCATCCTTTTAATATAGCACATTTAGTAAATACTTTATTGATTTTTTTAGAATAAATAAATAAATAAATAATTCTGAAATATCTGCTTAAAGAAAGATAAGGAAATGATAGAATAAGGAAAACTAGGCGAAATTTAAAAATAAGCTTGCTGCCTTTGTTAGAATTATATTCCAGAAAATACTTTTTCTTAACTGAGTTTTAAATGAATGTGTTCTAACATGTCTGAGTTGTTCATATTTTTTTTTAATAGTTGCTCAGTTAGGAATTAACACATCCATTTCCACATATGCCTCATACAACAAATAAGCTTATATATTTTTACTGAGGAAATGATAGCATTTAATTCATTTAATCTATTTATTAAATCATTTAAGTATTATTTCATAGAAAGAGTACTTAGTAGCTTTTTTCCCCTACTATTAGGCATAAATATAGCCGAATACTTGAAAGTCAGTGATAGGTAAAAACCCTTCCTAATGTCCCCACTGCTTGTAATTGCCACCAAATTAATGATGTATATGTGGACTCGAGAATTAAATATCATTAACTTGCTTTCCTTGAGTTTAAAAAACTATTAAAAATAACAATATTTTCAGTTGTTAAAATTGGAGTAGTATCATGACAAGAATAAGAGATGACTCACTTTTTTCCTACTTAGAATATTTTTCTTAACTGAGTTTTCCAGAAATCTAGTCAGAACCAGCTCTTTAAAAACCCCTTTGGTGCTCATTTCAGCGGCACATACTCTACAATTGGAACGATACAGAGAAGATTAGCATGGCCCCTGTGCAAGGATGACATGCAAATCTGTGAAGCATTCCATTATTTTAGGGAAAAAATCCATTTGGTGAAATGCCTTATATTTCTCCTATTTACTGTCACTTTCAGTTTTAAAACATTACCCTGTACCTTGACACAGCCATGGAACAGCATGGTCTTGTAAAGGAGCACTACAAGGATAACTGCAATAGAATTACAATAAAAATTATTTATTTAAAAAAAAAAAGAAAATGAGACTACCTGGAAATTTGGCACAGTGTTGTTCCCCACTGAAAGATTGGTAGTGTCACCGAAGTCACTCAGAGATATTTCCAGTCTTAAAAAGTGAAACTTGTGGAGCATGAGACCTAGTTTATTTGATTTTAGGCTTAATGACTTTCAACATAAGATAGCATTTGAATAAAAAGTGGAAAAAGTACAGCAACTTTTTCTGTGTTTTATTTAGGACTACACTGATTACAGGAACTTAGATCATCTGTCTAAATCTGGCAAAACACTTAGGATGTTTCTTGGGGAGACAACCTCTGGAACAGCCGCCTCACCGACTCTTTCACACTGCGCCTGTGTGTTCCACATCCCATAAGCATGTTAAGCTTTTTTTCCTCCCTCATTTTAATTCATTTAGTTAACAAAAACTCACTGAAACAGGCTTATTATGAAGCCCTTGTAGATGAGGCATCTGTGGTCACCTACAAAGATGAAGTATCTTGTCCTAGTTACACAAGTGGCAAGATGGCTACAGTTGAAAGAAATGTAGTAAAAAAAGAGTAGAGTGTGCCTATAGAAAGGAAGAGGTCAGGAAACACAAATTAGAACAGTCTGTGGATTCCATGGATAATAAAGCTGATTCAGGGAGAACAAATAAAATAATTATCAATTAGGAGGCCAGAGCTTATTGATTATGTTCAATCAGGAGGAATACACATACAAACCCAAAAACTAACGTGAAACTGTGAGGTCTCGGGTACAGAGTTTGTGTTCTTAACCAGCACACCGTGCTGCCTCTCCCCAAGGAGGAAATAACACATCCAGAAAAAAGCAAAAAGCCAAACAGAAAGAATACTATGGCCACAGCTACCAAACATTTTTTTTAATCCCAAAATACAGGAAGGCCCAGGATAGAAACCATAAGGCACAGCTCTGTAGCCCCCAGATCTGGTTACAGTAGAGTCCATCTTTCAGGGCCCTGAAGGAAGTTCATGGGCATCTGAAACCTAGAATCAGTATTTCAAAATGTAAAGAGAACAGTTCATTCATTTATAAATAAATATATATAAGTGCACAAGTTTTCTAATTTATTTACATTTGGCTGAAATTCAATCAACTCAGTGTTTATCCAATACTCTCAATTGACTGGTGAGGACAGTCAGAATTTTAGTGGACTACATAGTATAAATAAAGCCACATGTCAGATAACCGATCGTTTCCAGGACTGACCAAACTTGGACACATGAACAGTGGTGACCAAATTTAATTAAATACCACTTTATTATATGTGTACATTCTTATTATTTATTAATATCACAGACAAAATCATGACTTAAATAATTCCATGATGTTATAAATTCTTAATGGACAGATGCTTTCTTAAAATCTGGATTGTTGCTGAAATGGAAAAATAGTGATAACAGATGGAAAAACATGTACTCTAATTCAATAATTAAATTCTTCCATTAAGCAAAATCTTGTAAAGCATCAAGCCATGAAGGGGAAAAAACCTTCCAAAAATAATTTCAATGACAAGAACACTCATCTTTAGGATAAACAAAAATTAAAGTTTCAGTCATTTATTTTTCTATTGGTTGGAATACACTGCGGATATACCACGGTGCTGTATATGCTTGGTCCTATAACATAGTTTAAAAACACAGACTTAATCTAGTTTCTTTCCATCTGATTAGAAATAAACTGAGATTTAGGGGATTCTTGGTTTCTAAAATAGTCTGTTCTTGTTCTTTTAGTTGTCCTGTTACATTTCTCATTGACATGCACCAACAGACAGTCCGTCTTTGAAAACAGCATTATAAATATCAATAAATTCTTGAGATCATGGCTGTTAATCTGCACTGATGTTGTTATTGTTTTGTGTTTAATTCCATAGCTTTTTTCTTATTAAAATCCTTGAAATTTGTGTTTAGCAAATTTTCACTTGATTTAAAGACTTTTTGTTATTGTTTGTTACTGTTGAACTACAGTTCCCTGGTTAAGAATTTGTATTTTGTGTTTTAAAGAGTATTTAACACATTTAACATTTGAAAAATAATATTCACTATGGGGATAATACTAATTATTTTGAAGTGTACCTCTTTATGGAATTACACCCCTGTTATTTTTTCTTGGTCAGTTTACTTTACAATTGATGAAGATTTCTAGAGATAAGTGAATGCCATAATAAACTCACTTTTATCTCAATAATTGCCTGATTGCAGATGTTTACCCATTCTGCTAATAACCTACACATATTTGTTCTGGCTGGTTTGTACTTGAATTTATCACCCACTAAAGGTTACGTAATCCTGGATTATCACCAGCGGGGAAACAGATATGTGCTTGTGATACCCACTGTGTTTAACCTCTAACAAAACCTCTAAATGCAAGATCTTTCTCTGCGAAATTGCAGATTTTGGAAAAGAAAAAGTTGTGGTAGATACAGGATTCAAATACCAAGTGTATAAATTGAACAGGTAATCCCCTCATGGTGAGAATTAGACATAATGATAGTTCCTTAACATTAGAAATTTTATTGTCTCGGGAAAATGTGGCTCTTGTGGAAAAATATCGGGTTGAAGTAAATGAAGCTGAAAGAAGAGTGGAACTCTAATGGCGAAAATCGCTTGGCGACTCAGTAATGTCTTTTCTAAAAGAAAAATTACAACCTGTTAGATTAGTGTGAACTGGAAAAACTTGTAGGAGTTATTCTTTTTCATGCAAGTCTTCCAAGATAATAAAAGCCAGTATTTTGGAGGAACTAAAAGTTCTTTATAGAAAAATAAATAGTGAGGCAAGAATTAAAAGCATTTGACTTCTAAATCATAATATTGGTACAATTTTGAAATGTTGGTCCATTAAAAATCTATTTTTCACTTGTAGTTTATTGTTTGTTTGCTTTTAACAACCACTCCTCTGTCCCTAGGCATTCTAACTTCTGTAAGCTTTCTTTAACCTGGAATTCTATGACATAAAATTTTTGCTTAGGAAGAAACTGACCCAATTATGTTTTTTGATGTATTCCTTTTTTATAGGCAAGTAAACAGGACCAACGTGTAAGTCTAAGCATTAATTAAAATCTATTTTAAGTAGTTTTATATGAAAGTATATATTTTATATTACATTTTAAAAATATGTTTCTACTACGGATGACAGTTTTATTGGAGTGCTTTAGAGGCCATCAGTTGTACAGCAGTTATACTGGTATTTCATCCTAGTAGGTGCAATACTGTCTCGTGTTTATAATTCCCATGTAGTAACTTAATTTTCAATGTGAACTTAGAAACAAGAGAATTCTCTTAAAAATAATTATTGTAATATAGATACACTTGTTTGCAGCTTCACTAAAGTAATTTGGACATGCATACCTAATTACTCGAATAATACATGCATGGTTGCTGTCTGGAACACTGAGCTCTTCTCGGTGGAGAGTCAGTGGTGTTGCTCTAGTGAGGAAATGTGAGGCAAAGGCTTGGTCCCGGCTGTGGCTATCTTTCCAACTTCCTCCTTCCGCTCCCTGAGATTATTTTTTGAAGGGCCTGTTTGTCCTAAACACGCTGGCCATTATCTTTTGTACTTAGCAGTGTGCTGGTTTTAGGGACTCTTAGACTTGCTCTGTGACTAATTCATTGTCCAGCCTGTAGATCACAAGGCCTTACTCAGCTCACTACAAAGAGCCCCTTGTTACTGCCCTAGCTGTTTATTGATGTTTCTCTTTGGCAGGACTTCGCTGTAATCTACAGTGAATAAAGTCTTAAACTTGTTTAATGACTCCCTAATTGCTATACTGACCACTAATCTCCAAATAATCCCTCTTTTGTGGTGGGTGGCTTTACACACACACACACACAGAGGCATACTCAAACCCCCTTAGATTGCGATTTCAAAGCTCAATCACGAGCTCTCCAGCAATGACATTAGAAGGAAAGACTATTCCCTTCCCTAAGAAATAAAGACAGATCCTTTCTGTATGTTATTTTCAGTTTCCTACTTCAAAATTCTGTATTCCCCTTTAGAAGACATAGATCAAAAGTTGTTGACACCACTCATGTGTGACAATCATTTCCCAAAAACATTTTATTTAATACAGGCTACAGTCATCAGGGAAGGGAACCACAGTTAAAAGGCAATTATTCAAAAGTAATTCTTTGCTTAGGTACTACTTAGTAGTTGACTGATTAGGCACATTTTGTTTATTTCCTGATAGTAAGAGGGAGAAATGTATGAATGTGTAAGCATCACAGGATGTTGGTCACTCTTGCACCATTTGGTTGTCCTGAGGACATTAACATAGCCGCATTCAAAACCAACACATTGACGCCATTTAGGAGGGGAAAAAACTGAGGATATAATGACAACATTGCCACCTTCTCACCAAAATAGTTTCAGCTGCTCAGTGCACCTATTTCTCACTTGTCCGGTGTAAAAACAAATGGAGGACTGCTTCTCGTGGGGAAAAGAGCCATCATGCTGTGGCACATCAGGTTGCTAATGGATAGGGATCACAGGATTCCAGGGAGGGAGAAACACCGTTTTGTTTCATTATCTTTGATGTGCCAGTTTCATTAATGCCTTAACTTTATACGTTGTTGATGGAAATACGTACAGCTCTGTTAATAATCTATTAAGGACATAACATAATGCTTTTTGGAATCTGTAGTCAGATGGAATGTTGTTTTCATAGAAACTAGGAGTGCTGGTAGACTTCAGTGATGGTCTTTTATTGTGGTTTTATAGCGATGGTTGTGAATTTGTCCTGTGCTTCGGACAGGAAGCCGCTGTCAGGTCAGAATGTGGAGAGACAGAATGGTTTCCTACAGGCAACAATGTCAGACAAGGCTG